TAATACCAAGTTCGGCAGCTATGATAGAAACAGTGGAAGCAATGGCTTAAGTGCTTTTGGTGAACAAAACATGAAATAACATAACATGAAATGCAATATTATACGCTTGAAGTCAATAACAGAACATGAAATACAGGGATGATGATTATGTGAAAACAGAAACTGAAAAGGGATATTTGATACATTTCTGAAACGTAACCAAAGCTAATTAAACTCTACATGGTGCAAAAAGAGATGTAATCAAAGCTACTAAAAGATATAATCAATCAAAAACACTTTCATGAAAGTTCCACCTGCTTTGGTGCAAACATAGATATTAAGCCATAACATTTATCTAAAAGGCCTTAGACAATTGTGCAAGCATATGAGCAACACCATTTCAGCACCAAACCTCACCATTTGAAGTAACTCATCTTTATTAAGAGCTGCATCAAAGAATAAATTGTCAGGGAATAAGATATCAAATTAAAATTTCAAGCAAGAACTAAAATTCCAGCACACATGCCCACCCAGTACAAAACGATGATTGAAGTGCCCACCAAAGAAAATTAAGTTTGAAGTGTTGTATTCTTAAGCTACTGATAATACCCAAATAATAACCAGGAGGAGAAATTTTCACAAAATCGTAATTACTCTCTGAAAATAAAACAAAAATAAAAATTCTAAATACTAACGCACAACTAGAACCCAAATTCAATCAAATTAAATCACAAATGCAAGTAGGATCTTGGATTCAATCAAATAAAATCACATACATATAGAATCCAAATAAAAACAAACATTCACATAGGATCCACAATTAAAGCAAGCTACAGACATCCTAAATTGATACCAAAACTTTGTATCAAGCATGGAGGTTAGAGCTTTACAAAATCGCACCTTGGGAACTGTCACGCAGCCTTCACCTTCAAAGCAATTGGCCTCGAGCAATTGTCTTCTAGCTGATGAGGAGTTGAAGCTCTTGAATGTTCCAGTGAGAAAGAAGCCATAGATTGTGAGAGAGGGAGACAGAGAAGAAGCCACAGAAAGAGAGGGAGGGTTTCGATGGGATTTGATGAGAGAGAGAGAGAGAGAGAGAGAGAGAGAGAGAGAAATTTGCAAAGTCTGAGAAGGAAGAGATCTGAGAGAGCATTTGGGACTAAAGAATGAATTAGAGATTGGAGATAGAATATGACGCTTCTGTAAGGGAGAGAGAATGTGACCCCGAAAAGCGTGAATTTTTTTAGGATGAGGGAACGAGAGGGTTAGCGCGAAAGAATTTCCCCCAAAAAAAAGAGAGGTGGATATCGTACTTGTGTCATTTTAGTTTAGTTGTACTGGTGTACTTTGACAGATGTGGCTTACCTGACAATTGCATATTAACCTCAGAAAATTTGTCCTCTGCAGGAACCGAAAAAGTTCAATGATTTTCTGCGCACTCTATGTATATTCTGCCAGGAGAAAGCCCTCAGCAGTTTCTGTGAATTTCTTGCATCCAAAGAGCTCACCTTGATTTCAAAGACAGAAGCTATAGACAGGTTTCGTGCTCTTATGCTCTTTCCGGTTATTGAAGTGCTTGTTTTCAAGTCAATTACAGTTTTTGTATCTTTCTCATTTCTTTCAGCAGTCATTTATTTGAATTTTTGTTCCTATATGTTCCCAATGCAGTGAAGTTAGGGATGATGAAGCTAGGAATTTTCTGGTCAAATCAGAGCCAAAGATGGAATGAGTGCTTGAGTGCTTTAATTGGTGTCTTGTGGCTATTTGCCGAGAGTTACATCACATTATGATACAATAAACACATATCTATATGAGTATCATAATGTGTTTATTGTAATGTGGTTTTGTATCATAATGTGTTTACATCAATGCTACAATATATAGATATATGATTATGGCTGAATGTTTAACTGCCTCAGTTTTGAACTTGAGAGGTATTACCAATCGTGTGAACACACATGCAACACTGTTTTGTTTTGATTATGGTGATGTGAATATATTAGCAATTCAGTCTGAACACAGAGGTGCATGTTGTTAATTAGAAAGGTTTATTTTTTTAACTTGAGAAGCCGAAGAAAATATGTACATACAATATTGTCATACAATAACCGTGATACAATATGAGAAGGGTGGATAAAAGGATGTTATGCCATATTGTCATACAATAACCTGAAAGCACTTCCCAATGTACATATGTGAAAACAAAATGTAGTAGTCGTTTGGGTTTTACCCCTTACTAGTTGATCAGTTTACAAACAGAATATTGAAAGCTATTCCCCATGTATCCCAGTGTTGGGTTTGGGGTTGGTTTCGGTTTCTTTATCCTTGGTTTCGGTTTCTTTATCCTTTAATCGTGAGACTCAAGACGACATGGTTGATTTCAAGTTTCAACATATCTTCTTGTTGCTTTGGTTTATTTTCTTGTCCTTACTGTTTGACTAGTTTTGTCCTCTTGCTGGTTTTTTGTCCTCTTGTTGCTTTTGTTTAACCACATATAGTATTAGCATTAACTTGATTTTTGAAGACGGCACATGCATAATATCATTTAATACCCATCCCAAGTTATTATTTGTTGATAGCATAAAAACATACCCATCCCAAGTTATTATTTGTTGATAGCATAAAAACATACACATCCCAAGTAATTATTTAGTACCTAAATTCCTCAATAGAGGAATGTTATTCACAATCCCATTACTTGCTAGACATGTGGACACACAAACGCTTGCTACATGTCTCTCCTTTGTGTAATTATGATATCACTTTCTTCTCTCGGTTGCCACTCTTTATTTTTTTATTTATTCTTTTCTCTCTCTCTCTCTCTCTCTCTCTCTTCTCCTTCTCACATCCTTAGCCTCGTCCTCCTCTGTTTTTTCCCTTGTTTTATCAT